CACCAGTGAGGAGAGGGCCTTGTGACTCAGCAGTAAAATGCTTGCTCTCACAAGGCCCTAGTGCCATAAGCAAGTATAGAAGCCAAGAGGTGGAAAAAAAAGCTAGTAGAGTCACTGGCTGGCTGGGTGTGGGTGAATGAAGCCACAGTGAGTGGGAAGAAGGTAGTCCATTCTCCCACTGAGTCTTTCAGGTCCAGAGTGAGGCCAGAAGCCACTGGGAAAGTTTATTTTGTTACCTGTAGCCTCCCAGAGCCATACCTCTTTCCCAATGCCCCAACTTCCTGCCCCTCTTTCAAAACAAAGCAAAACTGCCAGGCAGTTGTGGCGGGCGCACGCAACTTCCCATCCTCCCCCCAACTCTGCTTCTGAGAATCTTATTTTATTATTTTGAGACAGGGTCTCCTCTCTGCATAGCCTTGGCTGTCCTGGGACTCTGGAGACCAGGCTTGAGATCACAGAGATCCTCCTGCCTCTGCAAGTGCTGGCATCAAAGGCCTGCACCACCAGCGGCACAGCCAGGTGCCTCTTGGAATCTTAACACCCCATTTTCCCTGCTGGTTCCTGAGCCGTGGGTAGGGTTAGGGGAAGCACGTGTTTGTTTTTGAGACAGGATTTCACACTGCAGCCCCAGCTGCCCTAAGCTTCATCTTGCTGCTTCAGCTTCCAGAGTTCTAGGATTACAGGCAAGTCAGTCTGGATTTAGAAAAAGTGTGTGTGTCTCTCCCCCCTTGTCTGTCTTTCTGTCTCTGTTTCTCTCCCTTGTCTTTGTCTGCCTGTCTCTGGCTATCCGTCTGTCTCTGTAAGGATTCAGGCATTGTGCTGTCACCTGGCAGAATGCACTCAGGTGAGCCAGGGTTCCATGGTTGTGTAGTCTGCTTGCAGGTGCAAAGGACCCCTTTAAAAGAAAGACCCCGGACACTTATTCTTCCAGCTTCCCCGCCCCCCCTTTTCCTTTTTCTTGCTGTTCCCCTGGGGCAGACAGGACTTTTCCTGTCTCCCTCTTCTCTCCTGTCCTCTCTCTGTCTCTGTCTGTTTATCTCTTTTCTCTTTCTTTCCCCCGCCCTCCCCTTTCTAAAAAAAAAAATTCTCATTTAAGCTCTGTCTGCCTGGCATGTTTGTCCCTCTGCCTCAGTCACCCTTGCTTGCCATGGAATCCTTCATGCTCCCCCAACCAAAGTCCCCCTCAAGCTTTATCCTTTCCAGCCTGGTCTCCAGAGCGAGTGCCAGGATAGGCTCCAAAGCTACACAGAGAAACCCTGGGGAGTTGTGAGAGCAACCTCTAGGGTCTCACCTGTTCCCATCCCCCCACAGGCTTTATTTTCCCAAAGAGGTTTTACTAAAACAGAAAAAGCCAAGGCAGATGAATGGGATGACTGGGACCAGGATGTGGTGGTGGTGTCAGGAGACAGCCCCAGCAGTTGCTGCTCTAGCCTGGAGCTTCAGAACCTGCCAGGGACTGAGCCATGGTCTGTCAGGCATGGCCCTCATGGTGACAGAACCAGACCCTAAAAGGCATCCTCTGCCCTCCACATTCTTAGGGTAGCACCTCCCTCGGTCATCAAGTAAATAAATAATTGGCTTTTGAGACAGGTCCTGGTGAGTACAAGGTGGGAACTCACTGGGGACTTTCAGTCCCTTGTCCAGCACTCCCCACCCCCTCCAGGGCTAGCTTTCCTGAGAATTCTGCAGGCTGAGCTCTCCAGCTTGGGGTGTGGATGGGATGTCTCAGCCAGCACCAGAGCTTGCTGGGTCTGGTATGATTGAGGCGGTCTTTAATGAGTGCTGTGTGTCTCAGTGGGGGGAAAGGCGCTTGGCACAAAGCCTGATTGCCTGTGTTCAATCCCCAGGGCCCTCATGGTGACAGAACCAACCCTAAAAGTCGTCCTCTGCCCACCACATTCTTAGGGTGGCATCTCCCTCGGCCATCAAGTAAATAATTGGCTTTTGAGACTGGACTCTCAAGTTTTAAACGTTGTGTGTGGAATCCCGCCCAATCAGATGTGATGACGCCCCGGGAAGAGGCAAAATTGGATCCTGTCACACCGTTCACCCACATTCTAGAAAAAAGAGACCAAGCCGCAAGCACAGATCCTCAGGGTCTCTGCAGCAACAGCAGGGACCGCGCTCCTACTTGCCGAGGAGGGGCCTCTGGTGTGTACCATACTGAAAACAGGCAGCTAGCGGTGGCTGCTCTAGAGCATCTCCCAGGCCAGGCTCGGTTTGAGTGCAGGGAATGCAGGAGGAGTTTCCTTTACAGGTCTCAGTTTGTCATCCACCAGAGGTCACCCACGGGAGAGAGACCCTTTGAGCGTCCCTTGTGCAACAAGGGCATCCTGCAGTCCTCGGACCTTCGGGTCCACCAGCGCACCCACACGGGTGAGAAGCCTGCGTGTGCAGGGTCTGGGGCAAGGTGTTTGCCCACGAGTCCACCCTGCTGGGCCACAGTCGGGTCCACACCAAGGAGAAGCCCTACGAGTGCGAGCACTGCTGGAAATGCTTCAGCCACAAGAGCAAACTCAACGTCCATCTCCTCATCCACAGCGACTGCAGACCCTACAGACCCTTCCGACAGCGGCACTCTGAAGCGACGTGTGAAAACCCATTCAAGAGCAGTGCCCGTGTGATTCTGTGTCCAGTTTTGTTTGTTTGTTTTTTTCCTAGAGACTGTTGCTAGGTTACCCCTCTTCCATGACAACACCTTGGGAGCACTTAAGAAGGATGTTGAAGTTCTGAGGACATTTCTGTCTCACTATTCCCCACTGGTGTTGGTTTGTTTCGTGAGACAGGAAACACTAGGTATCTCTGACTGTCCTGGAACTCACTATGAACACCAGGCTGGCTTGAAATTCTAGAGACCCACTTTCCTTAAGTAGCCCAGATTGGCGATGGATTTGTGACCCCACCCACCCCTCCGCCCCTAAGGTTGAGATGGCCTCTCCTTGGCAGGGGCTTTTGTTACACGTTTTCTTGGTTGACGTAGTTCTCGAGTTGTCAGTATTGAATAACAAGATGGGAGTGACATTTTGTCCCGTCGATGCTGTAAAATGTTAAAATGTGAGTTTCCAATAAATAACTTGGCCAAGGACGACGCTTTTAAAGTGTATTTTCCCCGTTACCATTATTTTTAATATTTCAATGAAAATTTCAGAACAAGGTGTGGTTGCTCACGCCTTTAATCCTAGCTCTCAGAGCAGAGGCAGGCAGGCAATTGTGAGCTGCCTTGTGTGTGTGAGAGAGAGTGTGTGTGTGTGTGTGTGTGTGTGTGTGTGTGTGTGTGTGCGCTGGGAATTGAACCCGGGTCCTCCGGGAGGGCAGTCAGTGCTCTTAACCTCTGACCCGTCTCACCAGCCCTGAACTTGATTTCACTTTTTAAGAAGAGGCCAGAAGAGGGCACCAGATCTCATTACAGATGGCTGTGAGCCACCATGTGGTTCCTGGGAATTGAACTTAGGATCTTTGGAAGAGCAGCCAGTGCTCTTAACCACTGGGCCGTCTCCCCAGTCCCAACCTTGATTTTTACCAAATTGGGGGGGGGGCTGCAGGTGTGCATCCACATCCGGTTTTATCTGGTGCTGGGGATTGAACTCGGGCTACTGCACACTAGGTAAGCACTGAGATAGGGCTTCGGTCCTAGATGTGACGACCAGGGCACATGTTTGGTTCCGAATGCGGTGACTAGGGGCAGGTTTTGAATGGCAGGGTGTAGTTACACATGAGTACCAGCTCATCTACCTCAATTATTCTGTAAATGTTATTTTTCTTTTCTATTTTTTCACAACAGGGTTACTCTGTAGCTCTGGCTGTCCTGGAATTCTTTCTGTACACCAGACCGGCCTCGAACTCACATCTACCTACCTCTGCCCCCCAACCCCCAGCACTGGGATCGAAGTGTGTGCCATCATTGACAGGCCTTTATTTTTTGAGATAGGGTTTTGATATATAGCATTGACAGACCTGGAACTAAAGCTCAGATGGTTTATGGGCAAGCCTCCTGCCTCACGTCTTCAGAGTTCTGAGAACACAGACTTGAGTCATCATTCCCGCCACGTGGCGCTTAAATCTCACTTTGTTTCCCAGGCTAACCTTGAACTCACCAGCATCCTTTGGCCTCAGCACCTGGAGTTCTGGGATTACAGGTTTTAAAGTTTTATCTTTTTTTTAGCCATCATGTGTAGTTATGGGAATGTCCAGCAGGTGATAGCAAAGGCCCTTCTCTGGCCTGTGGGGCAGGCCGGTTCGGCTTTGACAGTGCAAGACCATTAAACCAAGGGAGTGGTTTCCTTTTCAGTGATTTTAGATTTATATATTGTTTTATGCGCATTGTGCCGGTACCTGTGGTGGTCTGAATAAAGCATCGCATCTCCTGGAGTTGAGTTGTGAGCCACCGTGTCGGTGTTGGGAATGAAACCTGGGTCCTCTGGAAGAGCAGCCATTGCTCTTAACTGCCGAGCCATCTCTCCAGCCCAAAGGAACGCTTTCTACCCGATTAAACAGTAAGAGAGACACTGTTTGTAAACCAGGTAGAGTTTTGTGCATGCAGTGTGAAGCCAAACTTACTGCCCCACCCCATTTGTTTTTTTTTTTTTAAAGATTTATTTAAACAACACAAAAAACATTTGTTGCCAGGGCAATGGCTGTGCACACCTTTAATCCCAACACTCTGGAGGCAGAGGCAGGGGGATCTC